ATACTAAAGGTACATAGTTTACGGGAAACGTCGTTTTCAATTTTACTTATGGGTTTTACCTTTTAATTAATTGTCAAAGTAACTTTTTTTTCTCGGATATGGTAACAAAACAATGAGAGAATACCCTGTAGCTTAAAATAAAATACTACCTCAAAACAGTCATCATTTGAACGAACTGAAAACTATCCCAATTAAGTTAAGAGCTCCATTCTACCACTGTCCGACAGTCATAGTAAAGGTATTTATTTCACCACACAGCAGACAAACAACTCTCTCGTCTATTACAACAAAGAAACGATTCGTTATCTTTTTATACCTAAGAACTAACGAAATTAGTCAGTCTGTTGGTTACCTTACACTGCAACAATATAATATTATGTTTCAACCATAACAATATGCAATAAATGTATCAATAAATATGATATTATGGAAATGTCATATTGCCTTAATCAAATACAAGATTCCTAAAATTCCTACCAGATAACAGGTTTTGTATAATATTATAACACAATTATTCTTCTTCAATAATTAACTTACACAAAACATAAAGTAAAACATTATACGATTGGTGTAACAATTTTTAGATTGTTATATAAACAGTATTCTAAGCCAGGAAAAAGGCCATTTGCGTCAGTTACAAAGGTAAAATAGTAGGCTTTGAAAAAATGACAGTTTTCATATTATTACATTTTTAATCGGCCTATGTGGCTTGTCTTTATTGTTAAAAATAATATTTGCTGTAGAAGAGTTAACATAATCTCTGATCTGGGTATAAGGAGAAAGTTCGAGAAATTGCTTACTTGCATCCAGAATATATCACGAGTGATTTCCTTAACAGAGGAAACCAAACGCAAGAGCTTTTGATAAATGAATGGATCGTTTTGTTCTCTCTGGGTCAGTTGTATATGAAAAAAATGAGAGAACCAAAATTGTTTTAAGTGAACAAAAGAAATATAATACTAATAGCTACTTATGAAGATCCCCACATCAGCACTCTTGAAATTTTACGTCAACATGACATTAGTCAAATTTCCTCGGCAAAAATATTTCGTAAACATAAACTGCATCCTTACAGCATACAATTACAATAAGAGTTGACGGTCGATGGTTATCAACGTAGATTAGCTTTTTGTTAATGGTCTCAGCAGCAAGTACGAAGAGACCGATTTTTTTTTTTTTTGATAATCTGCTTTTTAGAGATGCGGCTATATTGCACAAAAATGGAAATAGTCAATCTCATAGTCAAACTAGATGGCCTGTAAATTTTTGGGGTGGTATTGTTAGCGATTATGTGATTGGCCACACTTTTTTAACGGGCGTGTGAATGGTGCTATATATTTGTATTTTCTAAATACCCATTTGCCAATACTACTACAAAATTTACCGCTTAATACTCGACAACGAATGTAGTTTTTACACGAAAGTGGTCTAGTTCACTTCTTCTTCTTAACATACCATACACCAAAGTGCGTAGGCGACTATCTCATTACTAGAATTCTGTTCTTGGCGGCGTGACACAGCTCACCTGTATTGTGTATTCCTGTCCATTCTTTAATATTCCTTAACCAGGACAATTGTTTGCGGCCGGCTCCTCTCCTACCTTCGATCTTCCCTTGTAGGATTAACTGTGGTATTTCATATTTTGCTCCTCTCAATATGTGCCCAAGGTAACCAATCTTGCGTTTTTTAATTAATTCAAAGAGTTCTCTTTCCACGCCGGCTCTATTAAGGACGTCATCGTTTCGAACTCTATCCACCCAAGGTATGCGCATCATTCTTCTCAATGACCACATTTCAAATGCTTCAAGTTTGTTGATAGATGTTTTTTTCAAAGTCCACGTTTCCATGCCATAAAGCAAGATGGACCATATGTAGCACTTGACCATTCTGTAGCGTATTTCGAAGTTTAGGTGTTGATTAAATTTGTATTCGGTTTTTATCTCTTGTTGTGGATCCGATTGGTCATTGATTGTGGTGCCAAGGTATTTAAAAGTTTTCACGCGATTTATACGATTGTCAACTATGCATAATATCGGGTTTTCTGGAGGGTTTCTGCTAATGACCATATATTTCGTTTTCAAAATGTTGATTTTGAGGCCATATTTTTTACCTATGCTATTCACCCTATCAATTAATAACTGCTGATCTTCCTAATTATCAGTTATAATCACCGTGTCGTCCGCATAGCGTAGGTTGCTAATTGGTATGCCGTTCTAGTTCACTACTCTGCTCTTATTCACGATTATCTAAATAATAACTTTCCTGAGAGGTAGATAAGCAGAGGACAACTGTTTAGCCACCGTGATCTCAGGAATTCTCCAAAATTAATTTTTTCATGTGTGGCTATATAAAAGACTTGTTTATACTAGAAAAGCCTTCAACAACCCCAGATGATATGATAAGTAAAATAAAAGAAGCTTTTAATAAAATTCTGTGGTGTTTGGGAGAAACATGATAACTCCAAAATAGCGAAAATTTTGTTAAGTGCATCACTGCATTTTGTTTTTGATTTATTTTCGTTTGATCTGACTATGGTTTGTCCATCACGTCTAGAAAACGTGCCACAGCTTGGTATAATATCGATAAGTCCCTATTATTCAAATTTTGTTTGGTATAGTCCTGTTAAAATATTATATCATGTACCCGAAAATAAAACTAGACAATAACATTTTGGTTCATATCTGATAATTGGTACTTATCATGTCTAGATCAAATAATATGCAAATTATTTTGGTAATTTTATGCTATGTCCCACTTAACATCTTTGATTCAAAGAAATATTATATTTACGTAGCATTTTCTGTAAATTTTTTATGTAAGTGGTAAATAACATGTATATATCAAACTTTTCTTTTCGTTGTTTTGTACTTATCATGAGCATTTGGTCGTATTCACGAACGTATCGATCACATTGTGTTAGTGTTAAGGTTTATCTATGGCTATTAAGTTACACTTAGTCAGTAAGTCAGTTTGTCTAAATCTTTCAAAGGCGAATGACGCAGTAAATGCGATCGAGTAATTTGGCAAACATGGCTTATAATACAAGTTCTCGTATTACAAAAATAATTGAGATGTGTTTATTAGAAAATGAACAGTCGTCTTCTAATAATGTAAGTATTTTAATGTTTAATTTTATGTGGTAAATAATTGCTTAATTTTTGTGTACAAGAATATATAAGAATGTATAACAATACTTATATTTGCATTTATTGTATGATTTATAATAAATTTTATTTTTTTAGGTAAGCACAGGTGTTACTAGCAACATTTTGGATGACTCGTTTCTCACTAGTGTAGAACTGGCTGAATCAGCTTCATATCCAGGCCCCTCTGAAAGTAAAGAAAATAATTTGCACGTTTTAAAACCAGCACTATTTTCACCAGTAAATCTTGAAGAAAATACTCATCTGCTGAATGTATTAGCGTCTGAAGTAACTCCTGATGATGATTTTAGTTCTGGATCTAGCGATTTGTGGGAACCATCAGGTTCTGAACATGAACATGGAAACGCGGATTCCGAAGACACTCAAAACGAGTTGGATGATGTCTATCCTTTGGCGCAAATAACTGTAAAAAAAAGAAAAAAGGGCCAGGGTCCAATGCAACGGAAGTTAAGAAAAAGTCGTTCTGATAAAAAAAGAAAGGGTGAGGAATACATTACTGCTAAAGGTAAGAACATTTCAGCTAAAATTTCGATACCTGTGTCCACAAACTGTCGAGCAAAATGTCATGAAAAGACTGCCTCTGTTGATCTAAAGCAAATTTTTAGAGACTACAGAAACTTGACAACTAGGGATACACAGAAACGTTATTTGGCTAGTTTAATAACAGTAAAACCTAAAGAAAGGACACGCCGTGGTAACTCAGTCAAAAATAGGCAATTTACAGTTCTTTATAAGTTGGAGAATATGGATGGTAATATCTGTAAATGTTGCTTTTTGAAAATATTTGGCGAAACCAGAGGTTTCTTAGATGACGTTGTTAAAAAAAAGAAAGCATCTCCTACTTCTATCATACTCAAGTCCGATTTAAGAGGTATGCAGCCGTCAGGTAACAAGCGCTCAGAAGCAGATATCTCATTTGCTCGAAATTTTATTAATATATTTCCAAAATATGAAAGCCACTACAGTAGAAGTCACACTTCAAAGCAGTATTTAGGGCAAGAATTAAATTTACAAATCTTATACAGGCTATATAAAGAAAAATTCAATGACACAAAATCTAATGCAACTAACGCCCCCTTGAGTTTAAGTGTTTTTCGAAACTTATTTAAAAATCTTAATTTAAAGTTTAAGAAGCCATCTAATGACACTTGCAAAACCTGTGATTCATTATTTCTGAAAATAAAAAGCTGTGCCTCCGAAGAAGAAAAACAAAGATTAGAAAATGAACGCCAACAACACCAGGATAAGGCTTCCTTTCATTATACAACAAAACAAGGCGACAAAGAAGAAAGTATGCGGAGCTTAGGCAAGCTTGTAGTAGTTGCATTTGATTTGCAGAAGTGTTTGGCTACACCTAATTTGACATCTAGTGTGTCCTTCTATAAAAGAAAGTTATGGACTTTCAATTTAACGATCCGCAATATCACCACAAAACGGACATATTGTTATGTGTGGCACGAAGGTGTAGCTCAACGAGGAGCTGATGAGATCGCATCTTGCTTATTTCAGTTTATTAAAGACTTGCCAGAAGAGGTAGAAAAACTAGTCCTCTATTCTGATACGTGCCCAGGTCAAAACCGAAATAATATATTACCGATTATGTTTTTAAAAGCACTTGAAGAAAAGGAAACTCTAAAAGAAATTGATCATAAGTTCCTAGTTCCTGGTCATACTCATTTAGAATGTGATACAGACCATGCTACCATAGAGAGATTTGTGAAAAAAAGAAGCGCCACAATTTCAGTTCCACAGGACTGGGTATCAGTAATTAAAATGACGAGCCCTCGTTTTGACGTAAAATTTATGAAACAAACTGACTTTTTCGGATTTTCCAAACTTCTAACAACGCATTTTATAAAAAGAAATGTTGATAAAGATAAAAATTCTTTTGTTTGGAACAGCATATTTTGGTTACATTACAAAAAGGATAGTGATATAGGCTTCAAATACACATTAGATCCCAATGAACCATTTCGTTCAATGTCCATGCTAAGAAGAGGCAGGTTAACTTCCATGTCTAATATTCAGATACTTCCAGCTTATAATGATCCTCTACCCATAGACTATTTGAAATATAAAGATATTCTCGACTTACTACCCTTTATAGATCAAATCTATCATGGATTTTACCATTCGCTTAAACACACTCAAACCAGTACCACACAATATACAAGCGACAGTGATGAAAATTTCGAAGCGTAAGTTTTATTTGGTACAAGTAAAGCCATATATTTCCACAGCAGTGTTTTCCAATACAAAGAAATTGACCAATAATAGTTTAAGTTCTCTCCTCTTTGACCGTTATCTCCATTAAAATACTTTTTAAATCTCTATATTTTTGATACAAATATGATATGTGCCATTATATCAAAAACATAAATGTTAAAACATATTTTGCTTGTTACATCTGTTATAGCACTTAATAAAGTATTTAATGAAATATATTTGGTTTTTTATTTTGTTGCGTTCGATTTAAGAAACCATCTCGAACGTTAAAATTGCTCTACTGAAAAACATGCATTTTGGAGTTATCATGGTTCTCCCAAACACCACAGAATTGATTTAGAAATTGTTAGAAATGCGCTCGGTCATTGAATGTCGGTTACAAATCGTTATAAAGTGAGTGACCATCTTGAAACATTTACTTTAGATTTATTTCCTTAATAAGTATAGATTATTTGTTACATTTATTACATTATTATTAGGTTTATATTTTTGTTAGTTACTTATTGAATAAAAATAATTTTGTTATATTATCACTCAATATCAATACTTATTTCTACTTACAAAAATTGAATGTATTTCCGAAATTTGAAGAAAACTAAAAATATCTCGGAAAATAATTAGTTAAGGTATAGAAAAGCTATATAATAATGAAAGAGTATTACAAATTTATTATTTTTAAAAAATACGTAGGTGATCAATTTAAAAAAAAATGAGAAAATCGTAATTTTGTTTTGTAGTTCACCCTGTATACAAATTTTGGTCAATGATTTCAGTTAAACTTAATTTAAAAACTAAAATATATTGTTTGCCTTATATAAAATAAATAATTATTTATGCATTACATTTATATACATCGTGTTGATTTCACAGGGATTTCGAAATGAAAATGGTCATAATTTGTTAAATACTCGGTATAGTAATGCAAACCCCAATGTTAAAAGAACAATAATTATGGGAGGAATATAAATATGAAAAATATAAAGGGTGTCTTTTTTAAAAAATTGTATATTTGTCATACCACGTACTTTTTGAATATCTTGTACCACAATGAAATTATCGACCGATGTCACACTGAATTACTCTTTCCTGTATATATACAGGGTGGTCCTTAATAATTGTATAAAAAAGAAACCGTAGATTCTACACTTTAAAATATTACGATTTAGGCCAAATTTCTTTTATAAATGTTGATATTAAGAAAGATACTAGGTGTTAAAGTGGAATTTAAATACTACTTAACTGGATAACCATTAAAATAAAATATATTATTAATTAATTAAAATTAACTTTTCGCTATAACTTGTTTGTATAAAATTTATGTACAAAATTCATAACTGGGGCTATTCAACATCAAAAATTATAATTTGATGCATACCTTAATGTAGCTTGAAGAGGGCGCTACATATGCCACATATGTGGCATACATCGGCACTTAACTTTTTTGCTCTTTAAGTTACCGGTATTTGTGATAAAAAATATTAAGATACATTATTTTAACAAAAAAAGGTATACTTGTTAATAACTTCAAAACTCAACAGTTTTCGAGATAATCGCATTTTACAAATTAACTACATAATTCAGATTTAACGCAATTACTCCAGGCAACGAAAGAAAATTAGACAAAAACATCAATACTTCTGAATTTTGGTATAAAATGCCTTTAATAAAGTTAATAGTTAACGAAATATTAAATAAAATAAATATATCAGCAGGATAATTTGCAATAGGATTTGACAAAATAACAGAATGATTGGATTTTACATCACACATTTTACGTTTCATAATAAATTAAACTAATTATCAAAACATTTTATTTACAAACCAAATTAAGAAATAGTTAAAATAAGTAACATTTAACTTTTTGTCAAAGTTAGTGTTCGATATATCCAACATTTTATTTAATTCATTTGTCAATACATTCCATAAAAGATCGTCTCATATTAAATAGCATCATTGTTTCTAAATAAACTGCTGCAGTATTATATAAGTATTATATGTATAATATATAAATAATCATAAAGTATTCTTTGGAATTTTTATGAATTAAATAATTATATTAATATCTCACCACATGACCAAGGAATATGACTACCACGAACAATCCAACGTTCAGGAAAGTTGTATTTAATTATGTTCTCACTGCCTTCTCTATATAATGTGGTGGTGTACCATTTTGCATAAACCATATATTTCTCCTTAAGTTTGATGACAATTCTTTCAATAAGTCAATAAAATCATTTTATAAAACATGTAAATAATTACACCATGCAAATTACAAGGTAATTCGCATGTCCGTAAAAAATAATTACAAATGGTATCAAACCATACGATTTGCATTTTAAACATGAATTTATAAATAAATGTATGGTTTGGATCCATTGGTATATAGAGAGAGGGCAGTGGGAACATACTTAAATACAACTTTCCTGAACGTTGGATTGTTCGTGGTAGTCATATTCCTTGGTCATGTGGTGAGATATTAATATAATTATTTAATTTATAAAAAATCCAAAAGAGTACTTATATAATATACTTATAATAAATACAGCAGCAGTTTCTTTAGAACCAATGATGCTATTTAATATGAGACGATCTTTTATGGAATTGACAAATGAATTAAAGAAAATGGTGGATATATCGAACACTTACTTTGACAAAAGTTTAATGTTATTTAGTTTAACTATTTCTTAATTTGGTTTGTAAATAAAATGTTTTGATTATGACTTTAATTTAATATAAAACGTAAAATGTTTGATGTAAAATCCAATCATTCTGTTATTTTGTCAAATCCTATTGCAAATTATCCTGCTGATATATTTATTTTATTTAATATTTCGTTAACTATTAACTTTATTAAAGGCATTTTATACCAAAATTCAGAAGTATTGATGTTTTTGTCTAATTTTCTTTCGTTGCCTGGAGTAATTGCGTTAAATCTGAATTATGTAGTTGATTTGTAAAATGCGATTATCTCGAAAACTGTTGAGTTTTGAAGTTATTAACAAGTATACCTTTTTTTGTTAAAATAATGTATCTTTAATATTTTTTATCACAAACACCGGTAACTTAAAGAGCAAAAAAGTTAAGTGCAAATGTATGCCACATATGTGGCATATGTGGCGCCCTCTATCAGCTACATTAAAGTATGCATCAAATTATAATTTCTGATGTTCAATAGTACCCAGTTATAAATTTTGATACATAAATGTTACAAACATGAAAGTTATAGCGAAAATTAAAATTTTAAATTTCCACTTTAACACCCTGTATCTTTCTTAATATCAACATTTTATTAAAGCAATTTGGCTTAAATCGTAATATTTTAAAGTGTAGAATCTACGGTTTCGTTTTGTACAATAACTTAAGGACCACCCTGTATATAATATATATACAGGGTGTTTCAAAAAAGATAACCCTGTCTCCAGGGTCGGTAAAAAACTGAAAAATAATTGGGGTTTGCTTAGTAAAAAAATTTCTGTAACGCCATCTGTTTTCAAGATGCAGGGCGTTGAAAAAAAAATTTTACGCATTTTTTTAATTTTGCCGAAACTACTGGCAACATTGTAATCAAATTTTATAAGAATATGTTTTGGAAGCTGATACATCCCATGAATTTGTTTTTATTCTGATATCTGTGAGACGGCGCTAGTTACACGGATCATACTAAATAATAGTCAATATAGCTTTTTTAAGAGTATAATTATTAATCAAAATTTCAAGTAAACTTAAACATCATTCAATTTTACACGAAAAAGCGTACTCTTGGTAAAACTCGAGACTGTGTACCGTTTTCGGAATATTTGTGATTTGAAAATTCTGAAGTAATAATTAATGCTGGTAGTAATGATAAAGTTCTAAGAGACTAGACTATTTTCTCCAAGTGTGCCATGGAAATCTGACATTTATTGATTGTTATGACGATAAGTCAACAATAATTAGAGTTTTTAAACCTTATTTGTAAAATCAAATCAAAATGTACTCAAATGTTAAATACACTGACATGTTCTTAACCTTAGGCGAATGTTTAGGATGTTTTAGTGCAGCTGTGACACGTTATGCAGAAAAGTTTCCTAGAAGAAACTTACCAAGTAAAAAACTATTTAGAGCCGTTAAACGACTTTGTCGAGAAACTAGGAATGTAAGACCAAATAAAATAAATTCTGGTAGACAAAGAACAACAAAAACAATTAATAAAGAAAATAATATTTTAAATTTACTTGATCAAGATCCAACAGTTAGCGTAAGGAATATAGCAAGACAAACAAATACTTCTTCTTCAAGTACTTGGCGGATACTGAAAGAACAGCAATTACATCCTTTCATACAGACAAGTCCAAGAGCTCTTGCCAGATGATCTACCGGTTAGAGTGGATTTTTGTGAAACATTGCAACAAAGGACAGCCCACAATCCAATTTTTTAAAATGCATTCTTTTACGACGAGGCCACTTTTACGCGACAAGGTATGTTTAACTCCCATAATGCACACTACTGGTGTGATGAGAATCACGAGTACAAAAGGTATCACATTACCAACACTCATTTAAAGTTAATGTTTGGGCAGCAACTTTAGGTAACAAATTAATAGATTATCATATTCTACTGGAAATTTAAATGGTTATATGTATCTTGATTTTTTAAACAATTCCTTATTCAAGATATTAGAAGATTCACCGCTAAACGAGCGAAGATCTTTATTTTTTATGCACGATGGAGCTCCACCACACTTTGATAGAAGGTGTCGTAATTGGTTGAGTAATCATTTTCCGAATCGATGGATTGGTAGAGGTGCAGAAGCTCCGATTCATTGGCCTCCTCGGTCATGCGATTTTAACCCTTTGGACTACGCAGTTTGGTCGTATATTAAGGAAGAAGTCTATGCTACAGAAGTAAATTCACGCCAAGAATTAGAAGAAAGAATTCAACGTCAATTTAATGACATCATAGCTGATCCCCTACCGTTTAGAAGGTTAATGTG